TCCTTACTCTTCTGCATTTTTGATCTTTGGATCTGAGTCCACCCCCGTCATCACCATCCACCCCCAAAAACAATTTTCTGTGGCATTAGTAATATCTTCTACTCTTTTCTTTAAGCTTGTGTTTACCTCTGCAGACTTGCCCTGCTTCACTGTCTCTTTCTCTCTGTCTCTCTCTCTGACCCCTGTCACAGTCAGTAAAGTTCTGATGAGAAGCTACCTAACACTGCATTGTCTGATCAGGTGTTGTTGAGTAAGCGAGTTTGCAGCCTCGATCTCTTGGGGTCAGCTTAATGCTATCCTCTGCTGGATCTCTCCTTGTAACCCGGTCTGCTGCCTGCCAGCCAGGCCCTACATTTCTGCTCCAACTGTTGACTGGCTTCTCCAGTGCTTACACCTACAACATACTACTGCACCTCCATGCCAAACAGCATTTTCAATGCTACAAGATGTCCAGGTCTGCACTATATTTGCATGCATTAGTGTCTAATGACTCAGCTAATAGTGTTACTATTTTTAATGTGTATTAATATGTTTATGGTAAAACCTCTCTGAAGCCTACTAACATTTTTCGTCCACCAAAATCAAGATATATGGTTTATCTGAATTTTTTTCTGTATCTCATTTTATACCTACCTGCTAGTGCTTGTTTTTTCCAGATCTGTTGTCCATGTGCTTGTTTGATTTAACTTAGAAAAAAGGTACCAAAGTTAATCTGCAGGGCCAGGGAGTTTGATATCCTTTCACTTTTCAAGTCAGATTCAACCTTGAACAAACCAAGAGGGAGATTATTGATTAATTGCTATACATTAATGAGCCAAATTGATCTGAAAGAAGGGCAGGAGTATAGATCCCTGACAGGGCAACCACTTGAAAGGGTTTTCTGTACAGTAAGGGACTATGCAGGACACCCAGAGGAAGGTGATTACACGGTAAAATCAGGTAGATGATCATCCTTTCTGTGATTTGTGCCAGCCACATTTACAAGTGGTGGGCAGTAGCAGTAATAAATTTAGCTTGTGTCTGCTGGTGTGATGCTAAAATGACAACTGAAACTATTCGCGGCTCAAAAACACTGCAGGAAGAGAATTTACATGTGGAGACAGAAAACATATAATTATATTTTTTGGCATCAGAGTATTAACTTGTGCAAATGGCTTTTATATGTACATGTTTTTAAAAGATATGCACTTGTGTTATATAATGGAAGTTTAATCTCCAATCTCTAAGCCTTTTTTTTAAATCCATAGAACTTATATAAGATATTTACATTGCATATCCTTCCAATGTCCCCATGTTCCACACAATGCTATATAAAGGCCTGTTATCTCCCCTCCCCCCAGTCCATTTGCATACACTTTTGCAGATATTACTTTCCTTGCCTATGAGTGGGAATGTTACCAATAAAACAATCTAAAGTTTAAGTATCTTTGCTTCCCTACTGGCAGGGTCGACACTTTGCTGTTGTGGCTCTGAAATTATTCAGCTAACTCTCCAGTGACTTTCATGCGGTCGTACTGGGAATCTGGCTTCACCTTCGGATTGTGGCTGTTAACTGTAGTCCTTATTCTGCTCTGTGAGCTCGCTGGCCAGCCTAAAAGGTGGACAATTGGTTGTACTTAAGGCTTTTCCTGGGTGATCAGGCAGTAGAGTACTTAGATGTATATGATGGAGCATTGTCCCGCATTATTGTTCTCTCTGCTTTAAATGCTCTATACTCTCTGATGTCCCAAATTGTAGACAGTCCAAATAGCTCATCCTTAAAGGAATCAACCAATACCAATACCCTCCACTGTGCTTTCATCTGGTCCATTAAGAGTTACTCTCATTTTATCTGTTCATCAAATCTTTGAAAAATCTTGCTTTGTGAAATCTTGATGCTTCCACCATGTGGCCATTTTATGTTGGCCTTATTTCTGAGCACTCCTGTCATTCTTATTCATTTTAATTGTTTAAATGTAAATGCACAAAAAGACCAGAGATCAGACGATGGCGCTCATATGGGATTTCTCTACTCATTTTGAGCACTCAAAACACTATACAAGCCCAGTTCATGCATTTTAAGTACTATTTTTAACTTATCAGTCAGACTACAATGCATGCATCAGGGGAACTCAGGGTTCAGTATCTTGCCCAAGGATAAGAATCACGTGCAGATTAGAGGAGCCCGGGGTCGAACAGCTCACCTTCTGATTGGGGAGATGAGCTGCTTTACTTCCTGAGAGTTTTAATTTTTTTATGTCAAAAAACCCTCAAACCACCAAAAGTGGTGGTGGATTGTAACGCTTTCCATCACATTACATTTTTCTATTACATCTTTAATATTACCTCATTACAGTACTAACTGTATTAACATTGCTACTGTTCAAGCAACTGTTATTACTACTAACACAAAGCTAGCTTGATTGTCAACAGGTAACAAAAGCAGTAATAAGCGTTGTTGCTATGTAGCATCCATTTTTACCCATACCTGTCACTGTAGAAGTATTCTTTGGGCTGTTTTTCACCACCTTTTCTGCTGGTTCTGTGTTTATACTTAAACACTAAAAGAAAATGTGTGTGCCTTCATTAGCATAGGGATTTATATGGCTCTGTACTCTCAGGTTTACATTTTTAACTCATAATTATGTGCATTATCTTTGTATGACGACCCCAACACTGAATGTCACACAAAGCTTAAAGCTCAAACAGCAGATGGGATATCTGGTGATTTTCCCTGAAAACACGATTAACTGTACTATATGTGGTCATAGTCGGTTCATTCATGTCCACATCAAATCACAAGCCACTGCAGCTCAGACAACTCATTATGTAAACAATTTACAACCCATTTCATAGAAAACAGGAATTGTTTAGGCTACACTGAACAGATGCATAGTGAGGGGAATTTAGGGATGCAATATTTTTTTCATTGTTATGTCACATCTGTTAAATCTGAAAATTTTAGCAATGTCTTGTCAAAACAGACGTGGTTTCTCAATAGAGCATTGGCTGTGACTGACAGGAAGTTATTCCCGTTTTAATGATATGCGGGCTTAAATGTATTAAGCCAGTACAATCTTATTATCAAACAATACCACCAACACAATTAAAGAAACTCCAAGAGTAAAACACTCAGATGCTCAGACCAAATGCAGTAAATAGTGTGAACTAAGATAAATACAGCAAAGCAATATTTTGGCAATGAGGATCCCGTTGAAACAATGTAGACATATGTGAACAAAGGGATGCAGAATGAAATGAAAGTCCTCGTCAAGCATGAAGCACTGCTCTTCGCTTTTGATTCTCATGTGGGGGAAACACTCTGAATTCACGGTTTCTTCTCCAATCAGCCGTGAAGGTATGTTTCCTCTTTAAGAATGATGTTTGTTCAGCAACATATTCTGTAGCATACTACTGTCGCTATTTGTGCACCAATAAGCCTAAACATTTTGAAGTCATCAATTCATCGCAGCAGTCACACCAAAGAAGAAAAAAGTACTTTGAAAATAAATTTAAAAAACATGATTTTTCTCCTGAATTAAAGCACACAAAGGTAAACATATAAGGAAAAGCAAAGACGCTTACTTTGTACGAAATGGTAAAAAAATAGCAAGCCATCATATAATGAGCACTATATTATGAGCACTAATACTACAAAGCTTTTGTTTTGCATCCTTAAAGTGGTAAGAAAGAAAGGAATCTTAGCATCACATCACACGAATCTCTGTTCAGAGACTCAGAGCTGAAGTTCTGCTTTCAAAGACCAAGCATATCAAACAACCTGACAGAATTAAGCCTGCACTGGGATTGCAGTGGTTTTTAGCTATTTTGACAATTTATTGTTTGTGCAGGTCTGCATAATTATGTCTGGAGATGTAAAAGCTCTGTTATGTGCATGTAAACTCATGTCAGAGTTTTGTCTGACTGAAAACTTGTTTTATTTTTATTATGCAGACTTGAGAGACGTGGCGACCATTGGGAGAGGTGAGGATGCAGGAGGTGGCTGAGCTGAGAATGACTGCTAATGTGAAACTCAGATATGACAATGACAAGTGTGAATGGTTGGGTGTGAGCTTCACTGTTCATTAGAAATAAATGAGGACTGACAAAAAGAACTCTTAAACTAGTAAACAAACATGTGGGTCTGAGAAATACAAATGCATTAAAACTGCTTACTTTGTCATTGATTTTGCACTAAAATGTGTGTGTGTGACTAGCAGGAAGCTACTCCTTTTGAATGATATGGGGGCTTAAATGTATTGATCCAGCACAATTAATTCTTATTATCAAACAATACCAGCGGCAAAATTTAAGAAGCTCTGAGACTTAAAACAACCAAATGTAGTAAATAGTGTGAACTATGATAAATATAGTAAATAAACCTTTTGGCAATGAGGATCACGTTGAAGCAATATAGACATATGCAAACAAAGGCGTTCCGAATGAAATGAAAGTCCACATCAAGCATTAAGCTCTGCTCATCAATTTTTACTTTTCATCACTTTTCTCACTCTGAATTCACAGTTTCTTCTCCAATCAGCCATGAAGGAATGTGGCCTCTTTATGAATGATGTTTGTTCAGCAAAATTTCCTTAAGCTGTGGCTACCATTGGGAGAGGCGAGGATGCAGGAGGCGGCTGCACTGAGAATAACTGCTAATGTAAAACTCAAATATTACACTGACAAGTGTCAATGATCAAGTGCGAACGGAGCTACAAGGCATCTTGTTGAAGTGTTGATCATCATTGTTTGGACAGGGAATAAAAGAGGACCAAACAATGTGAAAAAGGACTAATAACAAAACCCTGTGAGTGTCTTTCAGAATGAACGTTGAATTGGAAAACTTTGTATAAAAGTGACTTATCTCATTTTAGTGCATAGGTAAATTTCCCATTTACATGAAGTGTGAAAAGTAATTTTAGCCCAGTTTTAAGATAACAGGTGTAGCTCTCACCTCTGGTACAATATCCCAAAATATGGGTGAACAGAGAAGCAAGATGGAAATGATATTAGTGACTCACCTGGTCTTTTGTCATTTCGCCCTTTTCGACCTCCGCATAGCCGTACTTTGGAGATCAGGACAAGGATCTGTTTCTGGCACAGGGACTTGTTGCTCTTAGGACAGGGCTTGCGCTTGCTGGCTACCGGTCGGTTGGCTTGGTCGTCCTTGACCGCCCGTTTCTGTCTAATGAGAGAGCTGGCGAGAGCTGCCATCTTCCCCCCCCTCTCACCTTTGGGAGGGGGGTGACTTCCTTCCCGGTACCCCCTTTGCTGGTTTGGCTTTTGCTTTCCTCAGTACACTAGAATAGGACGAATGTTATAAAGAAAACCCCACAGGGGAGATCGGGAGTCTAAGTGGGTTAACAGGGAAGAGTTTAGTTTGAGGGTTCCCTTGGAGAGGGATGAACTGGATAAGATGCAAGTTCAAATGCAGTCCAATGTAATGGACCAAAAAAAAAAAAAAATCAAAATCTGACAGTAACAGATCCCAGGAAAAAAAATTTTTTTAAAGTGATACAGTCACATTTTCAATGTAAAACTTTGAGACCAGCTTTAAAAAGACAGACTTTTCCAAAAGGTTACGCTTGAGACATGATTCTATCCCGCTTCCCCACTCATCTTTCACATCAAAATGTGGCCTGGCAGCCAAGTACAAAATGTTATATTGCAAAATAACTAACCTACTTTAAACAGGCGATACAGAAGAGAAAGAGCTCAAATTAATTTACGTATAAAAACACTTTTAAAGAAGAAAAGTGGGCTCATTTTGAATGCTAGGAAGCTCTTAAAAGCGCAAGAAAAACCAAACTGTTTTTCACCATTCGTGCATTCCATGGCGGTCCAACTTTGCCTCCCATTTAAATGTGGCAGCGTGGAATAATGAGCCGAGAGTCCAAGCAGTAATCCAGCTGACTTAAATCCAGAGGTAGCACAGCAGGCGGGACACTGACGGTCTTTGTCGGAATGAAGCCGGGAACGGAGCAGAGACATGGACACAGACAGGCAGAGACTCCTCTTCTGCCTCCAATGGCATGCCTCTTTCCCACAGACCTCACCGAAACCCCCCTCTTTCCTCCTCCCCTCCCCCCTCCTCCTCCCATCCAAAGTCAGCGAGTGGTTGTGAGAGTATGTGTGTGTGAATTCCAGCAGCCACCATCAGTAGAGGTGACATTCATGACAGAGAGAGAAAGGAAGGGGGGGAGCGAGAGACAGCAAAAGAGACTGAGGGAGGGGAGGGGAGGGGGAGGCAGAGGCTGTGATGTGTAAGAATGAGCTTGGCGGGGAAGACGGAGGAAAATGTGGGAGAAGGACATCTTAACAGCCACTTCACCGAGGCTACAATTTTGTTATTTCACAGAAAACATCCCCCTAAAAAAACAAACTAGAGACCCCCTGAAACAGAGACACAGCACCAGAGTAGGAGAAAGACACCAGAGAGTGCTGGAGGTGCAGATTGTGACAGTTCTCTGTCTCCTCGAGAGGAGCAGCATCACCACGTGCTACCTTCCTGTCACATGCACCCACTCACACACACACCCAACACACACACACAGAGCAAATCAGCATATTTTGTAATGGAGCCTTCCCTGCTGTATAATTGCTCATCTCTAGTCTGTGTTTTTCTTCATCTCCCTCTTTGAAACTCCCTTACATGATAGTAATCTCCATATTCTTCTTTGCTTCCTTCAGCTTTACATATACAATTGAGTGGGGGGTGGGGTGTCTCTGTACCCTGAAACTGACATTTAGTGTTTGACATAGCCGACTGCTGGCTTACACTAACCCTGACAGAAACATGAGTTAGGACAGATTGAGTAAGACAGCTAGCCCTGCAAACACACACATACTGTCCTGCTCTTCCAAAGGCAGACTTTATGTTTGAAATTTTAGAAAAAGAGCAGGTCTGATTAAAGTTTTTCCTTTATTTCACTGAATGGAATGAAAACAATCCATGCATTTGACTGCATTTCTACAAGAAATGTCATGAATTTGCTTGTAAAAGTAGATATATATAAATTATCTTAAAAGATTTGGGCCATAATTTGAAAAAGCCATCAATGAATCTGTAGCAAAACTGGATATAAAAACACTAGACATCTCTGGCCCAACCCCTCAGACTCAGAGCCAATAAATTAACTTATCTGATTGGCAATCAATCCAGTTTTATTTGACACGGCACCTTTTTACAAGCCAGTCGCTGGGGAAACCAGCAGTAGAGGCGACTTCAAAATGCAAGCTCAATTCAGATCGTTTCTAACAATGCCACGCAAGGTCACTGTCTCTCAGAACTTGATTGACAAGTGACAGCAGATGTTTAGTCTCAGCGACGGACGAGGGCATGCCTGGGGCAGAGGAGAGAGAACCACGCATGAGATAATGCAGTTAGTATTGATGTGAAAACATAAAAAGGATTTTTTTTCTAATGATCCTCCCCTCCCTTCCAACAATCCCCACCATTTCCAACAATCCCCAGCCACTCCCTAGTCTTACTCTGGGTTAAGAATCAATCTCCTAATGGACATTGCATTGCACACATTGCCAAAGGTTGTTCTTCTTTTTGCTTTTCCCAGTCACAAGTACATGCCAAGTTACACCAAAAGAAAGCTAAGTGGGGATTCTTGGGACATTATACTGTCTCAAGGTTAAGAAATGTGTCCAATATTATAATGAAATATCACGCTATAAACTTAGAGGACTCATTAAGACCCAGCATTTTTTAATTTCTTTGTAAGACCTACTGTATCAGCACAAAACCAAACTAAAAAAAATAAACACTCATTATGCCAGAACACTTTAATATCCTGGTTAGAGTCAATTAATTACCATATCACTTTTGCCTCAAACACCTAGCTAGGTTCTTATACCCACAAATGCTCACACAGGAGACTCTGCCAGCCTTAGGATGTTTTATTCAGGAAGGAAAGAAACAGTAAATCTAAATGAAAGTAAGAATGATAAAAATAGCAAATGAGCTTTCTGTCAAATGTACATGTATAAATTCTCATCATCTGAATAATATACAAAAGAGGATTAAATTATGTTTTGCTAAAAACAATCCATTGCACAATCCCTGCATGCATATCAAATTACATGGAAACGGGGGGTATTAACAGCATATCCTCTTTTAAAGGGCTTTATACAGAAATGTTTTTCCAAGGATAATGATTCTCAGGTTTTGGTACATTCCATGTTACTTAACAGTCTTTTATAATCTTCCCTAGATAAGCCAGATGGATGAAAGATAGATGGAAAGGAGGGATTGTTTATCCATCTTCATCCTGAAAAGTAATTATAGTTGTGAAAAGTACGTAGCTTGGACAGCTATTAGTTGGCTAATAAAAGTGCACCAGGTTGCAAAAAACCCCATAAGTAAGACTCTTGAAACTACCAAACTGATAGCTTGGCTGCCAGAAAAGATACATCAGAACAAGAGTATAATTGGTCTGCAAATGTTGTCCAAGGAGTCATAAAGAGCCTACTCCCAGCTCCAAGGGAACAGCAGCACAAAGACTGAACATCCATAAATGACACTAAGTAGTGATGCAAGGATATCTGGGAGAAAGAGACATTACACAATACCATTGGCTTTGGTGGATGGAGCTAAGATATACAGTAGCTACCAAGAATAAGAAGATCACAAAGGTGGTCCACTGCCTGGACCAAGTACGATCCAACTCCTTTTGGCCGAAACACCTAACAGATATCTGTGATCACCTGGCAGAACAATTGTATGAGCTACAAAGAATAGGCACACCCAGACCTGCCAACACAGAGCAGAACAATGCTGATGAGGATTCACACAAGGGTAACTTCCAGCTACTGGCGAGTAACTTGCCTTTCCGTAGGATGGAATCTCCTGTAAATTGAGTAGGCACATAAGCTGACACATGCCCAAAGCTCAGAATGGCACTGGAAGCAACGCCAGGAGATCAAAGCACCAGCTAATAGGGGAATCAACATAATCACTGCCTTGACTGACTATAAATAACCCTATCACTGATGCCCCATACATGTCATCCACCTTATTGCAGAAGTGAAGTGACCATCAGCCATCTACATGGATGACATCAAGCCATATGGCAGGAGTCAATGAGCCATTTGACACACTAATCCATCCAACATCTATATGATAGCAAAGAAAGGGCAAATGAAAAGTCCTATCAGTCATTAATTAAGCTGGCCATATAAGAAGTAACAGATTGACGCCAAGACGTGAAAACTTCTCACTGTTCCATGCAAAGAGGGTCTATGTGCAATCAAAAGAGGGAGGATGTGGATTAGTGTGTGTCACAATCACGACTGAGAACGAAACAAGAAAAATACATCAAAATGTCCCTCTGTGAAGAACTGCTATATGACTGCCTCAGGCAGCAGAAGACAGATGACCTGAAGGAGGAAGATAAAATATAATAGAAGACCCAGCCCCTCCATGAATGCATCATCTGCAGATACTGGCAGACATCAAGATATTCTTCCAGAGGATAGAAAAGGCCACCCTGAAGAATAGCACAGAGTCTCGGATCACGACAGCACAAGAACAAGTCCTAAGAACCAGATCCGCAGAAGCAGGCGTCGAGCACAGCAGCCAGAACCCAATGTGGTGATCCAAATGAGATAGTCCAGCTATCTCTCTGTCCACTCTGTCCACTGTAACAGAGTGTAAGACAAAACAAACCCTGAAAGCCTTAGCCAGGTGGATGGCATAGCATATAGCCACATTTGTGTAGGAGCCCCAAAATCCTGATGGAACACATATCTAAAAGTGGTTGAAAATAACCAACAACTTCAAATTCCAGACGGACAACCAGATGCTGGCTAACCAACCAGACACTGTGGTGGCTGACAAGGAGCAGAAGACTGTGACAGAAGTCTCCATCCCAGCTGAACATTTTGGATTTCTTATCAGTATAGATTATAAAAGTTATTTGGAAATAAGATGTTTGTTCATTTCCTCAAACGTATGATTGCTCATCGGACACTTTGTCTTGCAAGATCTTTTTCAGACCCGAGTAAAAGCAGTGAGCTTGATAACGCCAAAGCAATTATTTAATTGATGATTGGTTAATTATTAAAGAACTGCAAGAAATGTTGACAGGGATTTATATACGGATGGAAATACAGACAGTAAAGCTGCTGCAAGGTGCTCCTTGAAAATGCTGCTTCATTGAACTGTGATGGAGTATAGCTACCCTGAACTTTAGACATGCGCCCATGTTTATGTTAACACATAGATACACACACACACACACACACACACACACACACACACACACACACACACACACACACACACACAGCCAGAAAGAATTAAGCACATCAACACAATTGGCCCAGTTCTGTCTCTTTCTCCCCCCTCTCTTCATCACTCTCTCTCCTTCAATCCTCTCTCAGCTCATCATACTGTCCACAGATGACAGGAGGTATTCTTCGTAATCCCCCTCCATTATGCGACCATGTAGAATCCGAGGCCCGCTTCTTGCATACAGAAATATTCTTTCCTGTGTCCATGACCCACGGGTGAGTTGCCCATTAGCTTTGAGCTGCACATATCATTCTCAGTTTCATTGCTTTTTTTAACAGTGTTCAGACCATTCTGGTAATTAGCTTTTAATACTGATTATTCGGACAGATACGGAATCTCGTTTGTTATGTACAACACCTCCTGAGTTTGATTTGCAGACGCCTGGTGTCTAATTAAAGCTAGTTATGCTGATTTTCTTTTAAATCATTCAAGTAGTTATGTTATTGATAATTTTGCTTCCAATATATTCCCAGTGTACAGAAAGTTTATTTAGGAAACAGTCGTCTGTTATCAGATAGAGTACCATCTTTATGCAGTTTCCCACAAGAACAATCATCAACACAACAATGTAAGTATGACTACCACAACTTTACTATGTTTATAATTGATAAATTATGGCTATTATGTATTTATTCAGAATTGTATTATGCTTATGGTTTGGGGATAGTGTAAGTGTGTTTTATTGTGTGACTGTGTTAATGAAAATTTAATTTCTACATACATCGTGTGCTTAGATGTATCTATTTATAATGTTTTTGTAACCATGCTAATGCCATGGCTCTAGATATGTCTAGTTGGCCTGTCATTTGGCCAATCTGTCA